AACAAAAGACAGGACTATGCATCACTTTAAAGACTAACAAGATGGTTTATTAGGTGATGAACTTTCGTGGGCCAGACCCACTTCCTCAGGTCAATATGTGGAAGAAAATTGGCATGACCATATATACCAAAGTGATACAATAAAAAAAAAGTGAACACATATAAAATTGATGAATCAAATTTAAGAACAGAGGAGGGATGAGGGGGGAAGGTTAGTGTCTGTGAGGTAATGACATTAGGGGTGATAATTGGGGAAGCTATCTTTGTAATGGGTGAGATAAGTAGCATCTTTGGAGTAGACAGTAGCTGTGTCTACACTGGCACGATCTCGCGCAAAAGCGGCCACTCTTGCACAAAAACTTGCTGCCTGTGTGCACTGGCCGCGTGTTCTTGCTTAAGTAAACTGATGTTCTAATGTATAAAATCAGGGCTTCTTGCATGAGAACTGAAGCTCCCACTCAGGAAGAAGCCCTCTTGCGCAAGAGCTCTTCCAGAAGAGGCCAGTGTAGACAGGCAACATGAATTTCTTGCACAAGAAAGCCGTATGGTTAAAATGGCCATCAGAGCTTTCTTGCACAAGAGAGCGTCTACACTGGCATGGATGCTCTTGCGCAAAAGCACATGCCAGTGTAGACGCTCTCTTTTGGAAGAGTTTTTGCAGAAGAACTCTTCCAAAAAAGAGTTTTTCCATGAGAACGCGCCAGTGTAGACGTAGCCAAGTGTGTTTATAAAATTTGTGGTTGACTGGTACTTTAGAGGACAGGATTAGAATTCAAAATTACCTTTATAAATTGGAGACTTGGTCTGAATCAACAGCATGAAATTCAGTGAAGACAAGTGCAAAGTACTGTGCTTAAGAAAGACAAATCAAATCCACCACTAAGAAATGGGAAATAACAGGCTCAGTGGAAGTACAGATAAAAATATCCAACAAAGATGTTATTTACCTTACCCATTATAAAGATATCACCAATTATCACCCCTAATATCATTATCTCATAGACACTAACCTCCCCCCCTCACTCTCCATCTGTTTTAAAATCTGATTTGTCAATTTTATGTGTTCACTTTTTTTGGATTGTATCCCTTTGGTATATATGGTCATGCCAATTTTCTTCCACCATTTGATCTGAGGAAGTGGGTCTGACCCACGAAAGCTCATCACCTAATAAACCATCTTGTTAGTCTTGAAAGTGCTACTTAGTCCTGTCTTTTGTTTCAGCTACACCAGACTAACACAGCTACATCTCTATTACTAATCATGGGAAGACTGAGATGAAGGGAACCTGATAAGTCTTCAAATATGCTAAGGACTGACATAAAGACAAAAGTGATCAAATGGTCTCTCTGCCACTGAAAGCAGGATAAGAAATAATCTTAATCTGCACCGAGAAATATTTAGGATAAATATTAGAAAAGACTTTCTAACTATACAGATAGTTAGAAAGTGGTATAGGTTACCAAGGAAGGCTGTAGAATCTCCAACATGTGAAATTTTTATGAGCAGGTTAGACAAACACTTCTCATGGATGATCTATGTATACTTGGTCCTGCTTCATCTTAGGGGGATGAACTAGATCTCTCAAGACCTCTTCCAGGCCTACATTTTTTCTGATTTTATGATAGCATGGGGTGTTTATTGATCTGGTTAAATTTCAGAACAAATGTGTGTGTGTATGGGGAGAGGGTGGTTAGTTATGTAGATGGGAATATGTGCCTCCAAATGCAGTAGGCTAAGTTTTCTTCAAATTGTGATCTTCATGTTTGAAATTATGGGAAGTCCCAGAAAATGTATGTGAAATTACTGTTTGACCACATCTGATGTTGGGGTGATCTGAGATAATTATTTTAATGATTTTGGGTTCTTAAAGGGGTGGTATAATGATTGTCTGTTGGATTTATGTTCATAATGGTGAGAAGCCAATGGGGATGTGTGCATTTTGGGGATACCTTGGTATACTGCTTCCTACTTTTTAAAATATTCTGTTAGGTTTAGAAGGATAATGATAATTTGTCCTTTCAATTTGCCTGTTTTTCTGAGTTTTTTGCAATTTGACTTTAGATACGGACATCATTTGCTGTATGCTAATATGTTCCGGTGTAGTAGAGATAACTTACTTAAAAATAGTAATAAAGAGCTCTGCAGGTTTAATTATTGAAAAAGTGGTTTTGACATTTAAAATCACTAGAGAGGACAAGGAACTTTTGGTGCCCCATTTATTTTTCATTTTTGAATTTTCATTATACAGTTTGAAGCTCTGTAATCTGGACTTCTCTAGTCCGGCAACATTCTGGGTCCAGCATTATTGGCTACCCCAGTGGGAGTTCTCAGGGGGCAAACTAGTGGAGTTCCTGGCTGCTGGGGGAAAATCAGAGGCTGCGGGCACCATTGGAGTCCCCAGTGGCCAGGGGAAAATCGGAGCCTCCAGCAGCTAAGGAGCAAGCAATGTAGCTAGGTGGCCAGAGGAAAGTGGAGCCACCAGTAGCCAAGGGGGACGGAGGAAAGCAGTGCTCCCAGCAGAAGTGGAGCTCCCAGCAGCTAGAGGAAAGCGGAGTTCTAGACTGGCATTGACCTGCACTGTTCCAGCAAATTCTGTGGTTCAGGACTTGTCATGTCCCAAGAGTTCTGGATCAGGGAGGTTCGACTTGTACTGTTCTATTTGAAACATTGTAGCATAAGCAATTGGTAGCAGAGGTCCTTTCTGGCATGGTGTACTACCTACATGAGACTAAGCGATATCATTGCTTTTATTAAAACATTCATACTGAGAATATCTTAAGTGGGAGAAAGTTCTAATATTGCCTTGTTTACAGACTTGCAATGAATTATGGAGCACCCTTTGACCTTTGGCAGCATAATAGAGAAGACTCTTATATGCAGTCACAGTTTTTAATTTTTAAAAGGGAGGGATCATTAGTTCCTATATTGGGTATGAGAACATGGACCTAAGAGTGTTTTATGATGCAGGGCCTGTTGTCTCTGGTAAGGCTTTATCCAAAGCAAATTTAAGTCAATGGAAGAATTCCCATTGATTTCATGGGGATTTCCATCAGCTCCATAAAAATTGTATAACCTGTTCAAAAATAACAGTAAAAAAGGTTCTGTTTTATTTGATGTCAGGCTGTCATTCCTAATTATTGTCTAATTTCTGGAGGACCACTTCAAAACTCAAAAGGCCAATGAGTAATTGTTAGGATTTAATAACATTTCTGTACCATTTATTTCATTTTTTTATCTAGCAAACAGAGACATTGTTCCTGCTAGCATTTCAATATTTGGAATGGTCATAATGTGTGATTCTACTCGACCAATTTCATATGTCCTTCTGCTGCTGTTCCTGGTAGCACAGAAGTAGAAAAATCAGCAAAAAGAATCATGAACTTGAATAAAATATGCTAATGCTGTTATTCCCCCTACTTTATAAAATAACATGTTTCTGTGCCCTAAGTCCTGATAGAATGCCTTTCCACTGACTTCTGTGAGCATCAGATCAGTACTCCTGTGTGACAGATTGCTGAAAAGGTCAAGTGTAGAAATTTGCACTGAGAGTTGAACAATAAGGGTATGTCTACACAGCAAAGTTATTTAGAAATAACAGCATTATTTTGAAATAACTTTACCAGCGTCTACACAGCCAAACCGCTATTTCGAAATTAAATCGAAATAATGCAGGGCTTATTTCGAAATTGGTAAACCTCATTCCAGGAGGAATAGCACCAATTTCGAAATTGCTATTTCAAAATAAGTGCTGTGTAGATGCTTATTTCGAAATAGGGGGCCTCCAGCCCTTCCCAAGGTGCCCTGGTAGCCACTCTGGGCACAACCAAGAAAACTCCTCTCCCTCTGCTCCTCCCCGGAGCCCATAAAGGGGTAGATTCTGGCTGCAGTGCCTGTGCCAGCTCCAAGCCTGCCAGCCCAGAGCCAGCAGTCGCTGCACCTGACCCAGTGGCCCCAGCATGAGCCAGGCAGCCAGTGCCAGCCAGCCCCCCACCACTCCCCAGGACCAGTCTGCCAGCTCCCAGGAGCCTGCCAGGGGCCAGAGAAAGCTGGTGCTTTCCTGGTCCAGTGAGGAGATCATGGACCTGATTGAGGTTTGGGGGGCTGCTGCCAATGTCCATGATCTCTGCACTACACAGAGGAATGCAACTGTCTACAGGCGGATGGCTGGCAGCCTGGCCACCTATAGCCACATGCAAACCCAGGAGCAGGTTCTGATGAAAATCAAGGAGCTGCAGCAGGCGTATGCTAGGGCCACAGGGGGCAGTTCCCAACCAGAAATACATTTTGTGTGTAGATGCGTTATTTTGAAATAAGCTATTTTGAAATAACGCTGTAGTGTATACATACCCTAACTGATATGCTTATATAAGAATGGCACTAGCGACACCTTGCCTAGATGTAACATATTTGTTTTCATTAATCCTGATGTGCAAAATGAAAGTATCATAAATCAAGGTTTTCTACATATCACAGTGGACAAATGAAAAAATATGTTTTTTTAATTGGTACAACATGTACAATTATTGTGTAAGGAATGTAAGGTGCTTAAATGGCATCAAAAATTAAGTTCTTTAGGGCACTGACTGGTCTCTTTTCCCTTATAAAACTCCCTGCAGCTAAAGCAAAAGAGAATAAGGGCTATTGTTAAAATGAACGTCTTACCTAATACCTTAGGTTTCAAATATTTTAACTGATTTCCCTTCCTTTCTGTACCTTTAATGAAAGCTAAAAATATGATAAAGGTGTCTTCTTTATGTGACTAAGCAGGGTGAAGTAGTTGAACTCTAAATCCATAACCATGTTTGGCATTTTAGTGTTGTACAGTGGCAAGGGTCATATAAATACCTTTGACTCTCTGGGCTCATTTAGTCCATAAATATTAATACAACAGGACTGCTACTTTAATAGATATCTGGACAGCACATAGCAAAATTGAGTCCTGACCACTAATTACTACTGTAATAAATAAAATAAAATAAAATGTTCTCTTGTTTTTCTAGAACACTATCAAGTGCAGGAAAAGAACTAAGGGATAATTTTCTGAAGGCATTGGCAGAAAGGGAAGAAACCAACCGTAGTGGGAAAATGGCTGTGAGTATATTTGAGTTTGAAATCTTGTAGGAATAAATAGTTTAAGATACAGCACATACTACATTTTCCTTGAAAATATCTATTGTTTTAGCATCATTTATAGCAAAACTATGTTTTCCCTCAAGCAATTCATTTTAAAAGTTCTGTCTATTTGGGAGAAGCTCCCTGAGGACTGAACATCGCTCTGTTTTTTACAAAATTAATGAAAAGTCAAAACAGGAATCTACAGGCTGGTAAATTTAACAGTATTGGTGGAGAGAATCTTGAAAACTATTACATTCATTTGTATAGCAGAACACAGAGATATATATATTGGCTGCGTCTAGACTGGCATGATTTCGCGCAAATACTTTTAACGGAAAAGTTTTTCCGTTAAAAGTATTTCCGCAAGAGAGCATCTACACTGGCATGGATGCTTTTGCGCAAAAGACATCTTTTGCGCAAAAGGATCCTTGCCAGTGTAGACGCTCTCTTGCACAAGAAAGCTGCGATGGCCATTTTAGCCATCGGGCTTTCTTGCGCAAGAAATTAACTTGCCTGTATACACTGGCCCTCTTGCGCAAGAATACTTGAAATGAAAATGTGGTTCTAATACCGCATGTGAGCAAGAATAGTTGCGCAAGAGGGCTTATCCCTGAGTGGGAGCGTCAAAGTATTTGCGCAAGAACCACTGATTTTGTACAGTACAAAGTCAGTGTTCTTGCGCAAATACTCGTGGCCAGTGTAGACAGGCAGCAAGATTTTGCACAAAAGTAAGTGCTTTTGCCCAAAATCTTGCCAGTCTAGATGCACCCATTGATTTTGAATATCTACTAAGGATTTAGGTACCATTCTTGTGGCTGCTTACATACACACGTCACTTTCCAGACATGTGTGAATGCAGTGGATCACTTATTGAGAAGGGCATCTCTCTGTAATGCCATTACATCAATGCTCTGGAATCTGCACTGCCCATTGGCCTCCAAGAGAATGTAAGGGTCCTTCTGACCTATAAAGCCCTATATGATGCAGGACCAGAGAAAAAAGGGTTGCCTCTTTTCCCAGGCCATAGTGCCACAATTCAAATGAAAGGTCCAAACGAGTCTTGTTCATGGAGGTGACTGCCAAGGTGATTTTTGTAGGGACTTGAGGATTCTGGAATATGACTCCCTCTTGAGTCCAGAAAAACTGAATTTGGTGACCTTCCGGACATGCTGCAAGAGACATCTGTTTATAGGAATTTAGGAGAAGGCTGAGGGTATGCTTCCCATAACACTGAAGAAGTCGAAAGAAGTTTTTGTAGGTGGCTGTCTGAGTTCCTGTGACATTATTTCTTTAATACTGCTGGGGTTTTATTGTATCATTAATTATATTAAGATGCATAGAGCTTGGGATAGGCATCATTTTATATTTTAAAATAAAAATAAATAAATTGATTCACTGACTCATATAAAATGCACAGGTTTGCAGAATTGTGGCTTAACTTAGGTCATGCTTAACTTACCCATTGGAATTCTTTGAAAATTCAATTGCCTGCACAGATCAGGGAAATTATATTATATTGTGATTTTTCCAAAAAACTTCTTGATAAAATTACACGTCTGAGATGAATGGTTGAACTGACAAGGCATGTAAGACTTGATTAGAATGTTTCCAGGAGGAATGATGAGAAATAATGGAATGAAACCGAACAAGGGAAAATTTATGCTAGCTATCACAAAAGATTTCCTAACAGTAATTTAGTTAGACTGTGGGAACTGGTGGAATCCTTTTCATTAGACTTAGATGAGATAGAGCACTCTGGAATATTATCAAGAGAACAATCCTGTAATATCAGATGACAGACTGGAAAATGGAATAGAACTTTTCTGTCTCCAAATTCTATTCTACCCCTGTATTTTTTGCTGACCCACATTTCCATATCTTTCCCTTTGTCATTAAGAAACCAAAAGTTAGAAAAGATGCCTATATATTTCTTTTTTATGTCCCCTTTTTCTTTTTCACCACTTTCTCTAGCATTCCTTAAAAAAATGAAAACACATACAATATGAGGTTATGCTGGCACTAATTAAGGGCACATCTGTACTTACCAAAAGATGGATGCAATGGAGGTCAATCTTCTGGCGTTTGAATTAGTGGGTCTAGTATAGACCCCTAAATTGAACACTGAGGGCAACTCCTTCTGGTGTCCAATACTCCTCGTTTTGCATGGAGTAAGGGAGCCAATGGGAGCGATTGCTCCCATCGGCCTCCCGCAGTGTGGACACCGTGAATGCTCAGCTTAAGGCCAGCTACACATTTTGCATAGGAATAGACTATCTGGTAGACCTGAAAATTAGTACATTCTATTCCAAAAGCATACAGTTTTGATGAAGAAGATCCTTTAGAGTTGGCTTTATTTATGTTTGCTAGCATTGTTAAATTGGAGAATAAAATCTGCTCGTAAGGAGTTCACTCACAGGCTGTGTCTACACTGGGCCACTTATTCCGGAAAATCGGCCACTTTTCCGGAATAAGCTGCGAGCTGTCTACACTGGCCCTTGAATTTCCGGAAAAGCAACGATGCTCTACTGTACAAAATCAGCCGCTATTCCGGAAAAACTATTCTGCTCCCACTCGGGCATAAGTCCTTATTCCGGAACACTGTTCTGGAAAAGGGCCAGTGTAGACAGCCCAGTAGTCTTTTCCGGAAAAAAGCCCCGATCGCGAAAATGGCGATCGGGGCTCTTTTCCGGAAAAGCGCGTCTACATTGGCCACAGACGCTTTTCCGGAAAAAGGGCTTTTCCGGAAAAGCAGCCTGCCAATGTAGATGCTCCTTTTCCGGAAAAACTGAAAACGGAATAGTATTCTGTTTTAAGCATTTCCGGAAATTCTTGCCAGTGTAGACACAGCCACAGAGTTTTCCTAGCACAGCTGAACAAGTCAGACAATGAAGACTACACTGGTTTTGCTGCTGTGTGTGGACTGTAATTGTACTGTTTCATTCCACCCATATGGGACACAATGAGAGTTATTTAGGTCTATATTCACACTAGCAATAGATTCCCTCTCTTCATGTTAAAATAATACTTAACAACAACAACATTGACTTTCTGGGCGATTACAGTGATTTTGATCTTCCCTACCTCTGGTTGCTTTTGACGGTAATCAGACAAATTATAAATATAGAGAGTATTTTCTTGTTTTTAATTTCATGTTTCATAACTGAGGTAAAAGTGTATTCTTTTTTTGTCCTATGCAGTTCTGGATCCATATTTTGCTTTTTTTATGGCTAACTAATTAGCCACTAAAATTTGCAGAGGAAATGTTGCTGAAAATGTGGTTCTAATAGCCCATGAGAGCAAGCTTTCTCCTGAGACTTCAAACGCCTTGTGGTTTCAGTTGGTTGAGAAGATCCATAGGAAGAGTGTTTCTTGTGGTATTTAGGGATTTCCTAGCAGAAAAGACCCCCCCCCCCAAAAAAAAGGCAACACAAATGTTTAGCTATGTGGCTCTATTTACATATGATGAAAGATTGGAAAAATAAAACGATGTAGTGTGAATAAGAAAAATTAAGAGGTTTATTTGCAGTATTGCATATTATAAAAGGAATTCAGTAATTAATAATAGTTCCTACCTCTTTTTCATTGTGCTTGTAACAGGTTTCATGCACTGGCCCCTCAAACTTTGGCCCCTTTTGTGTCCTCAAAGCAGCCAGCGACCCCTTTCAGTGCAATCACCTGTGCTCTTTATTTTCTGTGTCAGTTTCCACCACCTTCTATTGACAGAGCTTCAGATGTCACCTCAGGAACTGCTAGCTTCAGCAGTTAGCTGAGGAGCACAGCCTTCCACTCCCTGGCTCCACCCTTTCCTCTTCCCCCTTACTTACTTTCTGTCCATTTTTTGTAGCCCTGTGGCTAATGAGGCCAGCAGCTGTTCCCCATTTGTCCCCCAGTTCTGGGTTTACTCAGTCAGCTCAAATGAACTTTTCCAGCTAGCGCTGGTGTGACAGAGCCTGTCACAGTGCAGTTTTTTTTGCATCAAATTTCTTTACAAAGGAGGTTACTATACATCCTTATTTTACAGATGGGGAAATTCTAGAATTTAATCCTTGGTTTAGGTAATCCTTCTAGGGGAAGGCTCTAAATTGCATGTTCTCGACTGCAGCTTCACTGCTGTTTCTAAACTGTAGCGACATATACCCACCAAAAATCATACAAAGAAGAAGTTGCATTGTACTTCCCCAAGTACAGACCTACCCTATCACAGTGGCAAACTCCATCCTTACCTGAGCTATTAAAAGTGCAAAGAATAACACAAAATGCTTCACAGAGTATCAGTTTCTCCTCCTGAGGGGAGTCAGTGCAAATTAAACAGTCTCTTTCAATAGTAGGGAAAAAATAAATGTGTTTATTGACACAACAGTCATGGATTGTGATTTTAAAATCTCTCTGCACTGTAGTAACTAAATGTCGCACTGCATCTTTCAGCATGTGTGCTCTAATCTCCCTGTGAATTTTAGCTTTCACAGATTATCTGTATATTAAATAGCTCTATAAAGAATAGGTATTTACAAAAATGACATGATCATGACAGCAGAGTTGTGCTCATTCCCTTAATTACTAACCCTATTAAAAAATGAAGTCCAGAAAAGATTAGAAGGAAAAATAAGAGATCAGTAGAAGGTGGATACAAAGAATGAGTGGATGTGCTAGGTGTTGATTCATCCCTTTATTTTTCTTTTGAATGTGCAGCTAAAATGTCTCTTCCTTTCATGAATAAAATTCACTTAAATTCCATCATTCAGTTACACAATAGATCTATAAACTAAATCTGAAAGCAGAAAGTTCTTCATTTCTTCACAAAGCTGTATATTTTCTATATCTAGACCTCTCCCACATGCTAGTATGCATAGTTCTTGTTGTCAGGATGGTAATTTGTTCAAAACACACATGATCTGTTGTATTAGGAAGACGATAAGAATTGTATAATACCAACAGACCTATTTTATCTGTCAAAATAAGCCACATAATTACTGTAT